CAATAGTCCCCCTTCTCTGGGACTTGCTGTGCCCACGCTAGGGCTCCTCAACAATACTGTCCCCTCTCTGGGGCTTGCTACACCCACTCTTGGGCTCCTAATGATACGGCCCCTCTCTGGGGCTTGCTGCGCCCCCCTTGGGTGCCAGGTTCCTCACACTTCGCCGTGAGGCCCCTTTAAAGATACTGTGCCCTCACTAGCGCCGGGGTTCCCACGCCACTGGGGTCCCTTGGGGTTCAGCTGCTCCTCTCTGAGCTTAACTGACCCCACAACTCTGCCCTGCAACTCTCAGGGCCTAGTGCGCTCACTGGCGCCGGGGTCCCCACTTTACCGTGAGCCCCCTATGAGGCCTCCTCCAACCCCTACAGCCTCACCCAAACCACCGGTGTAATACACAACACTAAAGCAACCACAAGCCTCCTGGCTATAACCAAAACACAAGGCACTGGGCCATAACAACATAAGCCTCCTGGCTGTAATTCAACACCATTGCTCCAGCCTCTGGAGCTCTCGTGAGCTATACTTGCGATCCGAGTTCTCCCTATATCCTGGCTGAGGGAGCTCCTGCCTCTCCGGCTGCTAGCAGGCAACTGCTAGCCTGGCTTCAGCCCTGGGCTTTATAAGGGCCAGGCCCTGCCTCCTACAGGCAGCTGATTCTTAGTTGCCCCGGCAACCCTCAGCTGTGCTCGTTAGTGTCCTGCCAGGGCTCTCTCCCTGGCAGTTCCTCTTCTCTAGGAGCAGAGCACCAATGTGCCCTGCAACAAACACCCATGTGATTTACAAGATAAACTGAGACACATGAATCCACAGCATCAAAAATATTTGGAGTTTTTTTTGCAACAGAAGAATTGTTCTATTTTTTCATAATCAAAAAATGTGTGAAAATGAAGAGCCGGTATTTTGTTTGGAATTCCTTGAGTTTAAAAAGGTTGATAACCACTGCCCTAGGGTGAGAGCTTCCTTTCTGATCAGAAATTTTATTCTGGACCTGGGGAACCTTTCCCAAGTAAAGACTTCTAAAAATTGCTACAATTCCACAGAACGTTTCAAATTAAAAAAAATTATATGTATGATGAAAAAACAATTTTTTAGTGTTTTGTCTGATTGAAAAAAAATCAGGTATTTTCTTTAATAACTGATAATCTGTACTCAAGTAAAACATTTAATAAGCAATTACTTTAACCATAAGAAAACTTTTCCTTTTTTCTGTCTACATATTAATCGGTCATAAAAACCCTTTCCATCAAAATCCCACTTAAAAATTAGTGAAGAAAACCATGGGAAGACAGGATTGAAGAGAAAATAATGTTGCTCATATAGACGTTGTCAATGTACCTACCTAGATTTTCATATGGTTCTCATCTCCCTCAAAGGAGTACATTTGATTTCTGAAATTGTTCTCGAAGTTTCTCTCTCAAAAGGCCTCTTGCACTTGCTTTGTACCTGGTACAATTATCTGGCCTAAGACTCCATTTCTACAAACGTGCTTAAATTTAAGGATGCAAGTAGTCCCATTTACTTCAATAGGACTATTCAAACTCTTTACTTAGCACATCTATTAAGTACTGGAGATATTCAGGCCTAAATTAATAAAACATGTAATAACGTTTTACTGAAAAGGAAATAAATTAAAAATAGGATTGAACATCACTCTCTCACTTATCCATCATTTCTGCACTGTGTATATTTTTAAAGTGTGGAATTCAGTTTTGGCACAAGTTAACTGTCAGAATTCTTCTACAGAATGTGAAGGACAAACAATTTTACTATTTCAGTACTTAACATTTATTTTAGAGCATGTAAAATAGAATACATACCCAACAGTTTGTCATTTTGGATAAGAAAATCATTTTTTTCATTTCTGCAAATTTTAAATGCAAGTTTGCACACACTCAGCATATTCTTTCCACTCACTTTCATCTGCAGAGAGAAAGAGATGAAACAAAAATTACAATTATATTTTTGTGAAAATGAAAATTTCCCATATTATTTTAAAAGTTAGGTATATGGTAATCCTGTACTTCAATAGGCAAACTTTCAGAAGTCCTAAGAAAAGCACCAACAACTAGTTACTGGGTCTGTTCTGGTCCTGAACTGAGTAGAGGTTTTGCTATTACTTCACTGGAACAGAATTGGGCTTATAGAATTCAAAGATTCTAAAATCTTAATATGTAAAATTGTAAAAAAAAAAACAAAAAACCCCTAAAAAAATTGTATATGTAAAACTTTAAAAGGACTGCATATTATTTAAAAATCATTCTAATCTGCCTCTTCCCTTGAGTAGGGTTCCTTGTTTATTCATTAGTAGCCACACAACAAAAATATAAGAGCAGTTATGCTGAATAATTAAATAAGACAAAATAATACATTTCATAATGAAAGATGCCCTCAAACTTCTGGAAATATTGTAAATGATTTAAGTCAGCAGGGGAGAAATCTGACAGGAGAAGACACAAGAAAAAAATAGAGAAAACTGAAAAGGAATGTGAAAGAGGTAAAAATACAGTAAAAATCTTTCCCCCATTTGTTATTAATTACTTTTTCCTCCCAATCACAATTTGAAAAATATTTAATGGCAAAATGCCACTGCTATAATTCTTAATTCTGCACTACAACCAAAAACATGAACATTTTTTAATTTTTATCTCCAGATTAAAGGATACATGAAAATTGAAGTAAAAACAATGTGATCACTAAAATCTCTATCAGGAAATTAGCTAAGTAGGAAGGTCAAAGTACAGTCTTAGCTGCGGATTTTACATCTTATCAGAAATATTAATGCCACACCACTGCCTTATGAAAAACAAATTTTGTCAAAATACAGTTAAAAGAAATCTCTTAATAAATCTGATGCTTACCTCACTGCTACCTCTAAGATTTGAAGGCATAGACTGATATTAACATTAATAAAACAACAGTTTTATCTATCAACATCTTCTGTAACAGTTTCATGTATACAATTTCTTAGAGAGACCATAGGCAGAGGTGCATCTGTAGTGCTACAGATGTTGCAGCACTCTGAAGTGCTACAGAAATGTAGCAATGCCAGACATGGCTAAACATCTGAAGCCCTCAGCCACTTGCTGCAAAGGCACTCTGCATGCTCTCCAGCCCAGGGGCAAAACATGGTTGCTCAGCTTTGCAGTTCTGCTTGCTTCCTCCCACAAGCATAGTGGAGCACTATGGGATAAAGGAGGACTGAGAGACTCCCTTCATTGCTATGGTGCACTGGACACGTTACCTGTGGTGCTACCAAACACAGAACTAAGGTGAAGTACTTGTTTAATTCAGAAACATTTTTGTGGTGCTTCTGCCATTCTGTAGCACTATCTAGGATATGCATGTCTGTATGGTCAACTTTCCTAGCAACACAAATGTAACATTTGTCCACAGTCAGAGACTGAATATAGTGACAAAATGAAGAAAACTTGTCGTATTACAATTAAGGTTGCCAGTTACAACACCACTGAATTAAATGATGAAATAGATAAGTTTATTGAACTATTTATTTTAAATTATATGATTTAAAAGGTGTAGTTAACAGCTTAGTAGAAGTCTTTTGTTGTGAAAGGTATGGGATATATTAAAGTTAATTAATTTGCTAAAAAAAAAATTAATACTAAATATTTTCCTCAATTGCCTATTTGTTGCAAAATGCAAAAATTCCAGGTTTTTTATGTCAGTTTTACTGTTTTCTAAAATACTTCTGAGGCATTTTAATTATATCTCTTAAAACATTTCAGTGCTGCCTTCCAACCCATCACCCAATAGCAAATAGCAGAGATGATTAGGAGTGCCACTCTGCTGCTCAAGTGTGTAACATGCACAGTGCCCTAGGAGTACTGACATGCTGCATCATGCTTGGACCACTGGAGGATTCATTCCATCAGTAATGACATTAGCACAGATAAAGAAGGTGAGAATTTCAGGATTACCTTTGAAACTCCTGGCATCACAAGTATCACTAAGTTACCACAATGTTCACCAGGTACTCTAGTTTGAGTTGTGCGAATACGTCAACATTTATTTACTTTCTAATTATGTTTAGAATAAATCCCAGCTTTGATGTAAAACTCTGTGAACAACTAATTTTCTTAAGCTGAAGTCCTAAGTAAACTGGGAACTGGAAAATAAGAGTTCAACTCTCATTCTTGTCACAGCCTGTACCGTCTTGGACAAGACACTTGATTTTTTGGATGAGCGTCACAAAAAACCTTCCTAACCCATTTTGGTACCAGAGAACCCCATAACTACCCATGTTTTCTGACTACAATGGACTTAGGCACCTAAAGTTCTTTTACTCTACGTGCCCATGGTGCTGCCATCTTGGCTGGCCTGAAAATCAGGGCTTGGGACAGACATTCAAAGAGCCTGGGCCTAAATTGATTCAATCTTTGCAGGTTAGTCTAACCTGGCTAGGCTGAACTGGTTTGTAACTGTACAGACATCCCCTCTGGACTGAAGAAGTGTTGGCACATGACTACAGTGGCTCAGGCTAGAAGCCAGGGGGGGAGAGAGGGGGGAGCTAGAGAAACCCTTTCTTCCCTTCCACAATGCTGAACTGAGGGGACATATGCCCAGGCCTGAGCAAATTTGAGAGGGGGAAAGATTTCAGAACTTACCTCTGCTTCTGTGCTTCCTACTGGCTAATTCAGGTGTTGCTCCCCAAACTCAGCATAGTGAATGCTGTGAATCCCAATCCTAAGCACCTAAGCTTCCTGACCTAAACTACAGGGATCTTAGATGCATAACTCAGGTTTGTTAATTTCACTCTGGATCCAAGTATCCTTTATGATTTCTGCCCTCTATGCCTCCAACCCTCCTTAGTATAACAAACAAGATTATATTTGCATTTCCATGCCCTTTGTCTGTTTTGTCTGTTTAGACTGTAGCTGTCTGGTGCAGAGACCATCTCTCAAAGGTACACTTGGAGAGGTTTCAAAGGAGAGGGGGAGCCACGCTGCTCTGGACTGGACTGCAGCTATTAGTTACATGTGCAGGAGCCTGTAACGAAACAAAAAAATTGAGCTGCAGCCAGACACCTAATAAAGTTTATTTGGCTACAGGAGGGGACAAGCTGAGGGATGAGATAATAAAAGAAACAAAGCTTTTGATGGGTCTGAATAAATTCAAGTCAGCACAGCCTGATGAGCTTTATCTCAGGGTACTGAAGGAACTGAGAGAGGTCATCTCAGGGCGCTTGACAATAATATTTATGAAATTGTGGGAGATGGACAAAGTACCAAAGGACTGGAAAAGGGGAAACATTACTATAAAAAGGGAAAAAGGAAGACCCAGGGAACTGCAGACTGGTTAACCTCACATTAGTACCCAGGAGCTTACTAGAACATATCCTAAGGAACTCCATTTGCAAACATCTAGATGACAAAATCCGGCTATTGTAGGAAAAGGAAGATTCTTCCACAAGCAGCCAGCATGGATTTAAGAAGAAAAAAACCATGCTAAACAAGCATAAACTCCTATTACTTCACTGGAACAGAATCAGGCGTACAGAATTCAAAGATTCTAAAATCTCAATATGTAAAAACTTTAACAAAGTAACTACTTGGGTGCACGAAGGGAATGCTGTGGATACAGCAGTATAGTATTTACATCTCAGGGGCCCTGACAATAATATTTATGAAATTGTGGGACTTCAGCAAAGCTTCTGACAAAGTCCCATGTGACCATCTCATAAACAAAATGAAAAATGTGGGCTAGGCAAAACTACTGTCAGGTAGGTAGGTAGACAACTGTCTCAATAGCTACAAGCAAAGTGTAATTACACATGGATCCATGTCATAATGGTAGGGGGTTTCAAATAGAATCCCATAGGGTTATCCTGGGCCCAGTGCTGTCCAACGTGATTTATTAATGTTGGAATTGGGAGTTTCTTGAGCAAAGTTGAGCAACAACTACAGGCTTGGCAACGCCAACCTGACCAGCACTACGAATGAAAGAGACCTGGGGGTAATAACAGACCACAGCATGAATATGAGCCTGCAGTGTGACACTTGCCAGCAGGGCAAATAATACTCTGGATGCATTTCCAAAAAGACCAAGGAGGTGATTCTTCCACTCTACTCGGCACTGGTGAGACCCCAACTGGAGTACTGCATATGGGACCCTACCTACGACTGGGCAGTGGGCATTCGGCGGTACACCCTATATAGAAGAGACAGGACAGAGAGGAAAGGTGGGGGGGGGTTCCCCTCTATGACAAAGAGCACCTCACATCATCAAGGATTAGCTTCGGGTTAGAGGAGGGTTGGGCAGAGACACTATGGGTCAAACTACAAGGGGGGCGTGGTGAAAGGGACCTTACGGTGGGTATCTACTACAGACCACCCAACTAGGGGGAAGAGCTAGTCCAGGACTTCTCCAGTCAGCTTATGGAGGCGGTTAGGTCAAGGGATGTTATTGTCATGGGTGACCTAAACTACCCAGTCATTTGCTGGGAGGAGCAGACAACCAGGTCTGACCGCTCACGTAGGTTTCTGGCTGTATTATAGGACCTTCACCTTATCCAGGAAATGCACAGCCCCACTAGGGGTAACGCCTTGCTGGACCTGGTCCTGGCCACGGGGGATGACCTGGTGAGGGGACTGCAGGTCCTTGACCACCTGGGCAATAGC